AGAATGACTTTTGGTGACAGATAACCCCCGTTGGCCAGTGTGTTGCAGATCTCAATGTCTTTCCATCTCCTGTCAGATTTCAGCTCAGAAGTAGACACCCCACAGCTCCCACCCAGCCTCGGCCCCCTCTCCACCACTGCAGCAGTTCAGCATTGCCAGTCCCCTCACTTTGTCAGAAACTGTGCCTAATGGTGGCACTGTCAGAACCATTGGGGACAGCCCTTTGGGAACAGATGCTGGGCTTTAATAAACGTCCCTCCAACTTCAGTCAAGGGAACCAAAGTCTGTGAGCACAAACTGCCCTCCTACTGCTGCATGCTTTGGCTGGTAGGCCCTTCTTCCATCTTATGAGACAGTAGCAGTAGTATGACATCTTCAACTCTTTCTCTCTGACTCCTTCTTCTACTTATAAGGCCCACATGATGATATTAGGCCTACTAGGTAACCCAGTGTAACTGCATCTCAAAGCCAGCTGTTACAACCTTTCCTCCCCCTTACCATGTCATGTATAATATTAAGAAGTTCTAGGACTAGAGTATGGACATCTTTGTGGAAATGGAGCTCACTCTTCTCCCATGCTAAGCAAAGACAGTTTCCTTGTAGAAGGGAATTCTGATGTGAATGTTAAGAGAACAAGGCTTTTATATCATCACAGAAGGAGAAATGTCCTGGGCTGTTGAACAAAGAGGGGACCTAGGTAAGCATAGTTTGGAATTTAGCAAGGTAAAGCATGAGAGATGAAACAGAGAATGAGAGTAAATACAGAAAATCCTGTAAGAGTATCAGAGGTTTTTAGGGGAGTAATTTATTAGTGTTAGAGAGCTGAACAACATCAGGATAGGGTGAAAACATCAGATTTAAAGTCTTAATTACAGATGTTCCAGCTCTCAAAATGAAGGAATCAGAATTCTTTGTTGCACAATTCTTATTCTAGCTAATCAGTTTTCTGGAAAGATCTGGGACAATGATGGACAACCTGGTAGCGAGGTTCTGGGATCTTTGCCAGGAAGTATGGTCTCTGCAGAGTTTTCTCAAGTCAATATACACTCCCTTAGCCAATCTCTGTTCAGAGCCCTGTGACGAGCCCCTGTAGGCCCAGGCCCAGGCAAACTCCCCAGGCCCCGCTGGTCCCCTGCTGGTCCATGGTCCATGCTGTCTGGGCCTGGCAGTGCCTTCCCTGTTATGAAGTCAGCTCCTCCTCAGCTTGGACATGCTGTGATATGACCCTAGTCATGGGGTAAGGACCTAAATGGGAGGTAGACACCTCTTGAGAGAGGCTCCCATTCTCTGCATTGTCTCCAAGAAGGAGGAGAGTTCTAGCTCTTCCCCAGGGACAAAGCTACTTCTTACGTCAAGGATTTAGGGGAACTTAGAGGTTCTAGATTTTGAGGGCACCAACATAGATGGTTTCATCCAGGCAGGGCTTGGACTAAAGTGAGGTTGGTGAGGCTTCTAGGGAGCAACTTTTCAAGAACAACTCCTCACATGTGCATGGACCTGAGAGAGGCACTCCCTTCAATTCTTTACCCTGGGCACCTTGCTTGCCTAACCCTAGCCGCTGCCTTGCATCCAAGTATCAAGTCACATTATTTCCCAACAGGAACCTGACACTGGCCTAGTAATTGGCCTTGCTCACCTACTTCAGCAAGGCCCCCAGGACATTGTATGATTTGGCTATTAGGATGGAGCCTGGAAGCACAAGGAAACTGATAGCCATGGACTGTGTTAGCTGCCCTTCCCTCCATTGTATGATGGACTGAAGAGATCTGGACACCTGGGCATCCCACAGAGCATCACACTGACGTGTTGCATTAATGACATCATCTAATCAAGCCAGATGAGCAAGAATCAACTAGTATTTTGGAGGCCTTAGTAAAACTCACATGTCCCTAAGGAAGAGAGATAAACCCCATGAAGATACAGAATTTTACTATATCAGTAAAAGTTTTAAGGACTTTGGTGGTCATAGTATGCCAGGGCATCCCATCCCAAGTAAAGGACACAATATTGTACCTCCCGTAACAAAGAAGGGAACCCAAAGATGACATCAAGGACTGACTTGTGACATTCCCAATAGCAAGATTATTATGCCATGAGTAGCAGAAGTTCAGCAATGCTGAACTTCCTAAATAAATGAACATCTGTTGATACACTTAAAGGAACATCAGCAACTAAAGAGATCATAAACACAAAATTTGATCAAATTTCCCAGCTAGTTTATCAATTAGCTCTTGTTGCATTAAAAAGCCACACTAAAGCTTAAAACCACCACCATTTATTTCATTCATGATTCAGTCAGCAATATGGTCTGGATTTAGTCAGATGGCTCCTTTTATTTTGTCCAGATTCACACATACATCAGTGCCTAGCTGCAGAGTCATTCAGGGACTGGCTGGGTTGAGTGGCCTCTGCTGGGATATCTTGCCTCTGCTCTCCATGTTTGCTCTTGCTCCAGCAGGCTAACCTGGTCTTGCCCACAGGCATCTGGGCAGGGTTCTAGTGAACAGCAGTCATTGAACAGCAGTGCATAAGACCCCTGAGTTTTTGTGCTAGGTTCAGAAATGGCACAATCCCACTTCTGCTAAATTCCCTTGGTCAGTGTAAGTTACCAGATTCAAGAAAAGGGGAAACACACTCTTGTCACTGATGGGAAAGTTGCAAAGTCACATTACCAAAAAAAAAAAAAATACAAGGAAAGTGAAAGGTTGTGGCCATTTTTGCAACCTACCAATCTGCTAGATTCTGTATGAATTAACATGTTGGGGCTCATGAAGAGTGTCCCTTAATAGACGGAAATAAAAGCCTGATCATATTTCTAGGCCAGTCATTTCAAGGCAAGACACAGAAGTTGCTAAGTAGATCCAGTGTCTCTCCTTAGAGACCCAGCAGCACAAAGAGGCATGAGCCAAGCCCTGGACTATACTGCATCTCTCACTGAAGGGACCTGCATGTCTCCTGTCCTCTTTTAGAGTCAATTTAGAAATGACTCCAGGACTTCTGCCCTCAGAACAAAGCAAATCTGTTAAGTATACTGAAAAGCAAAAAAGAAACAAATTCCTACAATCTACCTGGCATTCTTCCCCATGGTTTTTATGATATTCTTTGCTTCAAAGCAGAAGAAAAATAAGGAGTTAATATGACATATAAACCACACTAAAATACTATTATGTCTGAACACACAAAGAAGCAAAAAGAAAAGACAAAATCCTAAAAATACCAAGATTCAGAGCCAAATGTAGCATATGGTTTTGGGAATCTAATCTTTACAATGAAGCCCCCAGACTCCTGTCAGAATGAGCTCAGTGGTGAGGTGGATGGGGTGATAAGATGCGGTGTGTGTAACTTTCCACTGGGTTCATCGTTAGCATAACCATGTGCCAGCTGTCCTTCTCCCCTCAAAACTGCATCAGTGAAGCAAAGCAAATCTCCTATGTCTCAATCCTACTTTTACTTTCATTTGCAAGGTTTTTTCCTCTGTTCTTTTACTTTTCTTAGTTCTCTTTCTACTTTTTCTTTTCCCTTCCCTGCTAAGGGAAAAAAGGATTTTTCAAGGTTTACTCCCTCATCCAGTTAAAAAGGCAAGGGATCAGAACTCATGGAAGTTTTGGTCTCCCTTTTTCCATCTCAAGGTGAGATGAGGTCAGTTAGATTTGCAAAGTAGCAGAGGCACCGTGAGCATTACATGTTCATGACTCTAAGAACAAGAATTTGGAAGAAGAAAAGAAAGTAATTAGGCCTCTCAGTCATAAAATGCCCTTAAGACGTGGGTTTAAGAAAATAGGTGCTCAGAAGTCAGAAACAACTTTTAGATTCTCAAACATCATGGTTCCTAGTCCAAAGAGCATTTAGAGACTTCTCTATAAACCATTGTGATCCCCCTGATCAAGCAAGTCCCTGTTTCCAAGAGTACCCACACAATGGACCTTCTTAGACACAAATCAGTAAGAGAGTCTAAACTGAACTTGCCTTGATGAGCTTCCTGTATTCAAAACACCAAAAGATGGGAGGCAGCATGGTGTGGTGATCAGGAGACTGGGCCCCAGACACCTGCTTTAAACTTGGCTCTTCCGGCATCATGGCTTGAATGGTCCCTATCCCCAAAACCCATGTTGAAGTGCTAACCCCCAGTACCTCAGAAGGGGGTCCTTAATTAGAGACAAGGTTTGTGCACAGGTAGTCAAGTTCAGATGAGGGCATTCAGGTGGGGCTGAATCCAATATGACCAGCTTCCTTATAAAAAGTGGAAATGCGGACACAGATCCAGGCACAGGGAGAACACCATGAGAAGATGAAAGCAGAGACTCGGGTGGTAAATCTCCAAGCCAAGGAATGCTAAAGATCACCAGCAACCATCGAAGCTAGGAGGCAGGCCCGGAACAGAGTGCCCTAGCAGCCCTCAAGAGGAACCAAGCTGCAGAACTGCATCCTTAGATTTCTGGTCTCCAAAACGGTGAGACAGAAAATTCCTGTCACTTAAGCTGTTCAGTTTGTGGTGCTTTGTTATGGCAGCCCTGGAAAACTAAGGCAACCAGTCATCATCTCCTTGACTCTGTCCCTCGCAGGTAAGTGTGGATAGTAAGCATCTAATGCAAAGGGACACTCAAAGGAGGATCCATTAGATGAATTAATATGCACAAGAGTTTTGAATGGACATTGACACAAAGACAATAGGTATATAAATATTTATTTTAAAAAAACTTGTTAAAGACCAATATCTGCATGAGATGACAGGAATCATTAGTGGATTTTGTGGACTCTTCAGCAGCATGGTGTTCAAGGGGAAATAAGAAATCTTTTAGAAACCTAAGTGCCATTACTAATTCCAAACATCAGCCACGAATTGTTATAATTAGATCTACGCTGTTTTCTTTGTTTTTCTTTCAATAGTGTGTTCTGGCAGTGCCTAGGGCCTTTAGGTTTCTAATAAATTATTAATCTAGGAGTTAATAATTCATGTTAATTGGTGCTATAAGCACTTTCTCTGGCAAATGTGAGCAAAGGTCACAACTTTTTAATAGTAAATGTGAAACCTTTTCTAAGTTTCTTTTTCCATATCCTATCATGGAAATATTAAGATATGGAAGACAAAGTTTAACCAGAGTTGAAAAAGCAAGATAATTCCAGGGGAAAGGTCCAGACCTCCAGTCACAGAGCCCTGCTGGAAGAAGAGGAAGTCTCCGAGGAACCAGAGGACTCTAGCCCAAGGGAGCCCCCCGGGAAGGATACAGCCACACAGGTTTGTGAACCTTTGTTGAAAGGTGTATAATAACTAAAAGTGTTGATGCCTTTTTGGTCAAAAAACAATTTTTTTTTTCAGAAAATAAAAGAGAGCCTGTGAGAGACTAGCTCACCCACGCGATTTTCATGAAGAATGGTTATTTTTCTAAATTACAAGGTGCAGAGTGGAGAATTGAGGACAGCCATTCCTCCTGGGTGACAGCACAGAATTCGAAGTCAAGCCTACCACCACTGACTTCTTTGATTTTAATGAATGTATTTATGTTCTGCTTTCCTCCACCCCCAGAGACAATTTGAGGTGATGCCTGATTGCAAGTCACAGAAGGCAAGAAATAAAAGGTTTCTTACCTTCACAAATTTGCACATGCTTTCCAACGGACTCCCCCTGGGTCTGCAGAGCAACCACAAGGGCCCAGATGCTCTGGGTGTTTTATTCCTTTTTGAGCCTTGATAATTGTTTGAAAGCTTCATGTCAAGTCGCAGACTGATGTGATAAAATAACTTTCCCATTTGGAGAATAAAAGTATTCTTAGTAGCTTTTTTCAGCTCTGATTAAAAGATAGATGTAAAATATGCAAAGAATGATGTCTAAAGACTGAGGATAAAAGTTAAATGAAAAGCACTAGTTTAAAGAGTTTCAGGGCTCAGGGTCCAATCTTCCAGCTCTAGTTTTTCTATGGAAATGTGAACAGCATATGCTTCGATTGGGCCCCTTTTCAGCCATTTACATATTGGGGAAATGTATATTTGGCAACAGATCCTATTTTTAGGCGTCCTTGAAACTTGCCCTTTGAAAATGTTTTCACTTCTGGCACATATGTGTGTTTTAAGCAGAATGAAAACAAAGCAAAAAAAGAAAACTATGTACAGAAAGGAATGATTTTTCCAGCTCTGGGTAGCACAATAAGAAAGCAATCATTCATTTGTGAGTTTAAAAATGGATTCTTGCCTGAATTTTCCAACTATTTCCTTCTAAATGACCATTTCTCTACAGAACTGAACTAATGTAAAGAGACAGGTTGTTCCAGTGCCAGAACCAAGCCAGCAAAAAAGGACGGCGGCTGTATTTTCCTGGGAGGAACTGAACAAAATAATACCTACTCTGTCTCCTCGCAGCCCCGGGGGTCCATTCAGAAGAAGGTGCCTCCAGACCTGATGCGTGGCTCCGAGCACACCTTCCCAGCCTGCCTCTTGAGCACCATTAGATCTCTGTTAGTTGCAGTCAGTAACAGAGATTCATCCTTGTGTCGATCATGCAGCAAGGGGAATCTCTGTCACTTCCTGTAATTAATGGCCACACCTTGAAGGGAAATATGGGAAAAGGGTGCTCTTCATACACAGTGTGGGTGTTTTCAGAACAGGCTTCACCCTTGCCACTTTTTGACCAGCTAAAATGCCAGAACTCCAGCAGAGGAGGAAAGAGGGGAAACAAAATGTTTCCTTGGGGCTGTCTCAAGCGCTCAGACTGTGGTTCATGAGACTTTTCCTATCAAATAGATGACCTGGAAGACCCCTCTCTGCTTCAATGTCCTTACCAGTGCCCTTCTCATAGCTCCACCATGTCATCTTCATGAACCTCTAGATAGATTCCATTATTGAACAGAAAATAAGAAAGAGAAGCCTCGTGCTGGTGGAGGGCCTCCCTCTAATTGCTCAGTGACCCATCACAGAATGTACCATGGGTCTGGTTTTCAAGATGAAAAAACTGAACTGCCACAGTCTGGCTGGGCACAAAATCACGAGCCACCACACAGCTTGTAGATTCAAACAGCAACTCTTTATTTCCGAACTCACACCAGCCGTCTACAAACACGTTCTGGGGAAATCCACGTTCTCTGCCCAAATCCACGTTCTCTGCCCAAATCCCCCTCCACTGGGCTTCTATCTCCAAAATATACTGTCTGAATCCCGTGAGAACTCAAGGGGAACTCAGGCAGCAGGATACGCCCTATTCCCAGCAGGAATAATCTTAAACCTTAAACCTGGAACCTAAACCGGGAACGCCCTAAACAGGATTATCTTAAAACCGGGAACACCCTAATCTGCCTTGGTCCTTGAGCAAGGTCACTTACATTCAATGTCACTGCAACATGTCAGCAACATGGGGTACGCTGGCAAGGAAATTGTCATACCTACTTGGCTAATGGCTCCCAGCACTGAACAGAGGTTTGGAGAGGCCAGCACTTGCTCTGAAGCACAGATGGACAGTGTCAGATGGGGACCACGTCCAGGACCCATGCCTCCTCTGAGGTAAAAGTAGGGATCCGTTTTTGAATTCTCACCTTTTCTCACCTTTGTAACCTCACTTTTATTCCTCCTTCTCCATAAAAATGGCTGGACTTATGCCATGTGTCCCTGAATCTTTACCTTCCTGTCCCCAACAAAGGAGAAAAATCCAATCTTATCTCTGAGAGATTCAGAGAGCCCTTGGGTACAAATGGCTCCTCACTGTCTCACTTTCAATCAGTGTGCCTCAAAGTTCTTCCTAGACTTCGTTTGTGACTTCATTTAGCCTGTCTATAAAGATTCTAAGATCAGTGGGGTTATTTTTCCCTTCCATTCCTGCCCAAGGACAAAGAAAATGCTGAGGTTCAGAAAGTGTACCCCAAAGCACAGTTGCTAAGCTCGCTGGGTACCTTGCACAGAAGGACTTCCCCCTGCCCTTCTCCTGCCTGTCCTTCCCCTGCCACAGCCCTTTCTCCCTCAGGCAGGCCACAGAAACATTCCTCTTCCTAAGGTGGGTCATAGGCTCTAGAACCCCTTTCCCCCGAAGCCAGTTGTAAGACCTAGAAATCCTGCTGACTTCCCCCTTCTGTCTGGAGCTGGGGAAAGGAAAGTCTCTGACCTAGATTGTCTGAGAGCAGATCATAACACCCTCATCCAGAGGGGTCCTGCCTGTATGCAGGAGGAAGGAATGTCTCCAGGGGAGCTGAGAAGAATCTGAACAGGCAGGCCTTGCTGGGTCTCCCCACTTGGGACATCACCACGCCCTTCCATCCAGTCACATTTCAACATAGCTGCCCAGGCTCCATTGAACCGAAGCACAAATATTGTTTTTCCTGAATCTTTGGGTCTTCATTTCTGAAGACTCCCATGTCACATAAGACTTCCTTTAAATAAATATGCTATGCTTTTCTCTTGTTCACCAGTCTTCAGTCATAGGCATGACCCCATGACAAGCACCTCCCCACCCCATGCAAACACGTGGGTGCTGCTCTTGGGTGCCGGCTCCACAGCCCCACTCATCTTCCATCACATCTTCAAAGACCTCCCTTCCATATTCTGTCCTTGGCTTGGCCCTCAAATATTTGAGCTCTTTCTCACCAGCTTCCCCTCACTGCCCTCCCCGTGGGTGTCCTGACTGGGAGTGTCCAACCTCACTGCTGGGCAGCTGGGTCTGCTAATTCCCCCATGGACACTGATGCGCCCTGACTCCTGCCACTCTTCAGGAGCCACGACCCCCTCTTTCCTTCCTTGGAACATGGATGTTCTCCAACCACAGCTGTTTCAAAACCTCAGCTCCCTCTCCTTTCTCCCACCTCCTCAAGGATGGTTCTTCAGTCACTTCCCAGCGACAGCTTCTGCCCTACCCAGTCTAACAAACTGAGCAGTGCTGCTCGATGTTCATAGTGCACTGCGCCCAATCTGGGGGTCTCTCCCCACCCAACCTGCTGCTTCATGTTGGGCTGCCATGATGTTGATTTGGGGGGGCCCAGCTCCTCTATGACTTTATGCTGATCCAGAGTATTTGGCTATGTGCAGCTTCTCCTCATTTCTGTCATGCCCCAGCTCCTGAGCTGAGCTGTTAGTGCTGTGGCCCTGGATGCATAATAAATTATTACACTACAATGAAAATATGCCACGAATAATTGATAAATTACTATACTACAAATGAGCACTTAATTTCTGTAGATATGTATAAGTCATAATCACTCCTTCAAAGCCATGAAAATGCCTTCCCTACAAAACGTGTCATTATTCAACTGCAAACGCTGCATTTACCCAAAGTTCAGCCCAGCATGGCAAGCTTTGCCAGCTCAATTTAATTCCCACATCTACCACAGCATGTTGGCTTGACGTATTCCCAAGTATTTAAGTGAGTGAATTTTCCCTTCCTCCCACCCAAACCCCTCTCTCTTACATTATACCACTGATTTAGCCTTAAGAAAAAAATTAAAGCATATTCCTAAGCCTCAAATGGAAAATGTCCTCATGTCTTCCGTTGATGGAATCTACTAGAGCTGTGTCAGCGTCCAGATGCACATTGATTTAGAGAGCAAACTAGGAGTGCTGAGAACTGGAGCACTGCTTGCCGTGTCTAGCCCAGACCTCTCCACAAGCTCCAGGCTTAGTCACCGGCCAGATGTCTACCAGGACATCTCGAGGCACTCAAAATGTCAGTTCTTGAGTCCAACTTTTTTGCTTCTTCTCTTCAGGTGAAACCAGGAAGTCTTGGCAGTTAGTTTGGATTTCTCCCATGCTATTATCCCTCCATGCCATCCACTTCATATCCAAATCTGTTGAATGGATTACCTAAAATCACCTAAGCCTGTCCTCTGCTGCCTGTGCCCTTCTCTCTAGAGTCTCCATCATGTCCTTCTTCAATGCTGAACTAGAAGTGGCATCACAGGACATTACCTGCCTTTTACCCATACCTTGGGCTTGCATAAAACCCTTCACTACCTCTCTGTTGCCTTCACCATAAACTTGTGAAGAGGCCTGAGAGGGACAGATGGATTTGGAGGCAGCCAGAGCCTCAATTCACAGTGTTCCTTTTTTGTTTGTTTGTTTGTTTGTTAATATCAACATGTACACAAAAGACTGGTGCAGTTTTCTGGTAGATTCTATAAATGGAAGTATTCAGATAACAGCAGGGGCTGATTCATGCTTCTTAGAGTGACTTGCAAGATTTTCCAAGGTCTGGCTGCACTCAAACCCACCAGTCTTTGCCCCTGGCTCTTTGCCAACATCCTCACAGCCCCACACAAACCCTTGCCC